ATAAGCATATTATGCCAAACTCAAGCTATTGGTGTATCCAGTGTTGCTTTGTCCAGCTGGTTGTTGATTTTTTGATAGCACCACAGCATTTATAAATATAGCTTACTTATTGTTGTCTCTGCATAATAAGCTGTGATAGGATTTTGTAAAAATATTGCATTGTAAAAAAAAGTATTTTGCCATCGGAAAAAAAATACACATGATTTATGTCTATGGGTATTTTTTTAAACTATAGAATCTTTTTCTTTCTTCTGACTACTTCTCAAATGGGGTTACACTAGATAAAATATTATAAATGACTTAACTATAGTGAACTATAGTAAAAAAAAAAAAAAAACTATAGTAAAAAATGAAACTTAACTAAAGTGCAATAACAACCTAATTATCCTGAATATTAATACACTAAGTACTAACACTTGTGAAATATGAATGCAAAATAAAAAATAAAAACCCTTTTGAATGGGAACTTGCACTGTGTCCTCTACAGGGAAATACTCCCAACACGTATCTAAACGTGACAATTGCCGGTGCAACAGTGAATATAAAAGGGCACCTGAGGAAAATGTCATCCTCTTTTTTGTTTCCAGGAACCGTTTGTTGTGACACAGTACATGACAAAAGAACTAGATAATAACAAAAAAGAAAATGTGTAGTGAGAAGTGCTTCAGGAAGTGTGTGGATCCGTGTCCTTGGTTTCTGACACCAGCATACCAACTATGCTATCATTGAAGGGATGAGTGAGCATAGATACGTGTTGATGCCCCCTCTTGAAGAGTCATTTGTAAGTTATCTCTCGGCAGGGGAGCCATCAACACTAAAGGCTCCAGCCCTGCAATCCAAGCCCATTAATACAGCATCACGCATGATTGGTAGGGCATATGTGACAGCAGATCAGGCTGGAGCCACTTTGTACACAATGGTGGTGCTTCAAGAGTACTAGGCTGACTTATTGAAGGAATTGGACCTGGGTCAAGGTCTGTCTCCTGAAAGTGTAGCTGAGTTGCGCAGCAGCACAGATTTCACGCTCTGGGTCACAAAACAAACTGCTGCCACAGTCGGTAGATCAATGGTGAACACAGAGAGAGACATCTGTGGGTGAACCTGGCTGACATCAGGGAGAAAGACAAGGGCTTTCTCTCAGATGCACAGGTCTCGCTTTTGGAGTTGTTTGGCAAATTCCATTCCGAGCCGGTCCAAGTCCACACCCAAACCCCTGGTGAGGGACCTGGCCTGTTTCAGTTTTCTGACAGGGCCAAGGACAGAAATCAAATGTGGCTACCCTTGCCCCTTCTCCTCCGAGTGAGTTGAAGAAGAAAAAGCAAGACCTCAGGGAATTGATCCAGTAGAGAATCACTCAGTGCTCCGGAGATTTTATGGGTAAATAACATCTACCCTCCTTCACTGTTTGATGGTTATAACATTTTGCCCTCCTTCTTGCCGAGGCCTCCACTTGCCAGAGCCCCACGCAAACTGTATTATCAATAAATATGGCTCTGGGTGCCTTCTTTGTGAAATTGTCTTGATGGAGAGAGTTAGGCTGCTGGTCTTAGAGCTCTGTGAGAGTAGTCTTTGAATATAGTCTTAGAGCATCTTTGGCCAGAATACTGTTTTGTTTTGTTTTTAAGTTGAGAGTTTTTAGGTCTCCTCTCATTATAGAGAGTTGTACTTTGAGGTCTCCGCTCACCAGAGCTCAGCAGCATTTATGCAATGGCCTTTTTGGATCTATTCATGTACTGTTCTGGTTAAGGGTGTGGTTAGGCTTTCTCTCGTTTAGAGAGTAGTTTTGTTGAAGCATCCACTCTTAAAGCTCTGTATAAAAATTAGTACTGAAGCAGTAACTGTCTGTCAGGGCCAAGTGTTGTTTTGCCTTCTCTTGTTTAGAAAGTAATTCTGCTGAGACAATATTATCCGCACAGACAATATTATCATTTAGCTCTTTGGAGGCTTTTTGATGAGATTATTGTTGGCATAGTAAAGACGGCCCTCTCTCGTTCAGAGAGCCATTCTGCTGAGGCCTCCACTCAATAGAGCTCCGCACAGGCAGTTTCATCAATTGAGTGGTTCTTTGGGACCCTTTGATGGGACTGTTTCTGGGGCAGAATGTAGTCAGACCTCCGATCATTTAGACATCTTTGTGCTGAGGCATCCGCACTAAGAGCTGTGGTATTGGAGTGTAAGGCTCTTTGGGACCCATTTACTGTTGAGGGTAGTAAGGCCTCCTCTCACTCAGAAAATTAATGCCTGTTAATGCCTGTTAATGCCTCTGCACTCCAGAGCTCCGTGCAGAAATTATTTTCAATAAATATAGCTCTTTGGGAGCCTCTTTGATGAGACTGTCCCCGGCATAGAGGTAGTTAGGCCTCCTCTCCTCAGTCGTCTTGTTGAGGCCTCCGCTTCTCAGAACTCTGTGTGGAAAGCAGTAGCAAGATCTTAGGCACTGTGTGTGCCTCCTTGATAGTTATTCTTAGCACAAGGCATAGTTAGGCCTCCTCTTGCTTTAGAAAGTAGTTATGTTGAGGCATCTGTCCTTAGATCTCTACTAAGCAGTAGTGCTAAGTTATCAGGCTCTCTGTGAACATCTTATGATGCTACCAGTTTAATTTAAAGCATTGTTAGGCCTTCTCTCGCTATAGAGAGTGATCCTTTTGAGGCCTCCTCTCCCGAGTGCTCCGCATGAAAACAATTCCAAGTTGTTAGGCTTGAACCTCCTGTGTTCTCAGAGCCATATTCAGTAAACCATACAAGCTGTTGTACAAGAAATTGTAGCCCCCTTGGTAGCCTCCTAGGATGCTGTCTTTAAAGGGCCCCTATTGTGGATTTTTGAAAATGAAAACATCTTTAAAATGAAAACATCCTGCAAAGTTTTAAATATGAAAGTACACCGTATATAAATGAATTGTCTTTCAAAAGAGTCAATGAAATTAATCGTTTTAATAAGCCTTTTCATTGTGACGTCAAGACGAAACATTAGCATATTGTCCGCCCACTTATTGCGCACGCAGACACCAGGGCAAACTTGAACCTAAAACCGGCAGCTGATTCCTGTGGATACTTGATAGCGTCATGTAGAGAAGACCCTGTGCTTTACAATCTGAAGCTAGGCTAAATCCAGTTTTTTTTTTTTCACTGCCCAAGGACGAGCATGTGAAGAATCAGTGGTTAAAATGAATCTTTACCACAATTTTACCGCAGTATAATCCTAAACTTTTTCGGGGTTCCCTTTATTTTATTGACGACTGTTTCTCAAATCTCGGAGTTAATGCAGGATCTGCAAACCACTCTTGAAAGATACTCAGTTTTGAGTTTGATATTGTATAGGTCTCCTGTAAACTGGCTAACTCATGTTATCACTGTCTTACTGAAATACTTCAGCTATGCAGTTGTAGGCCACTTCTACCTAAAACTGTGTCTGTCGTCTCACTGTCTCACTTCTTTGAGGAAAGATTAAGCGTGGAGCAAGATTTGTTTTACACAAGTCATTCACGCTAGAGCTCAGCTAATGTATACATTGCATACATGCACTGTTATTGATACAGTTTCCATTTGTTCACAGCAATATATTAGAAAAAATACTCTACAAATAAGTACAAGTAAAATAATTGATTTGTTGATGGACATGCACTTGTTAAAGCTGATGGTGAGGAATTAGTTGCAACATCTCATAATGTACCTCAAACTGAGTAGCGTATCACTGTGAAACGTCCTGCTCGAGCTGTCCTTTCGAGCGAGGTTTGGGTTTAGTTTACGGTGTAGGAAGCCTCAGGACAAGCAGATCTGATGTTGTTACGCCAACGGGCATTTTTGTTTTCAACGTGCTGTATGTGGTAAACCAATCACAACAGACTGAGTTGTCTAGCCAATCAGAGCAGATTAGCTTACAGAAAGTAGGGATTTAGAGAGATTGATTTATCTGACGAGTCATTTGAGAATCATTGAAAATGTGGTGACGTGCAAATGCATATGAGGAAATGAAACAGTTTTTTTACCTTTGATGCATGTAAATGGTTTGTAGGAGACTCCAAAACAACATTAGGAAACTTTAAAATATCATAATAGGGGCACTTTAAAGTTGAGTATCGTTATGCCTCCTCTTATTACAGAAAGTCTTTCTGCTAAAGCCTTCACTCCCCAGAGCAAACAAGTCAAGTGTTGTGAGGCCTCCTCTCATTTATAGGGCTTTGAACAAGTAGTAATGTTAAGTTGTTTGACTCTTTTGGTAAAGAAAGATTAACCTCTTTGATAAACTTCTGACTTAAAGTGTAGACAGTGCTCCTCTCGGTTAGAGAGTCGTTTTTCTGAGGCTTCCACTCTGGTGGTTTTAGTGTTGTCCCCTTGAGGTGGCGTTAATGTACTTTCGCCCTGGCCATATTCCCTTTAAGGAATTTCATTTAAAGTATAATTCCAAACCTTTTAAACTTTACCCATTGGCAAAACTTATTTGATCCTGTTAGGAATAGAGCAAAGTACTGTATCTTCCTCATTTAGAGTAGGTAATAGTGTCCTTTAGTGGACGCAGTGCGAGTTCCCATTCGGTGAATGTCTCAAGTTATGCACGTAATCATGGTTCAGAAGGGAAACGAGACTCTGCGTCTCGTTACCATGTTTCTTTGATGCTTGCAATGTCTCCTCCAGACAAAGAAGTGGGTGCCTTGGTTACACCAGTAATGACTTTATAGGCTGTCTCTGACCAGACACCGGTCATGCTGAAAGCATTTCTCATAGTGTCCTCTAGAGGACGTAGTGTCTTGTTCCCCTTCTCAGGAAATCATGAGACATGTTTTCATGAAGGCTTCCTCAAAACATGAAAATTTTATATAATGTGTAGATTTAGCAGTGAATATTTTCCGGCCATGTTTAAAATTATACAAAGCTTTTATCATTGCAGATGTCTTTTTTTTTTTTTCCGTTAAAGATTTGTGCTTAATTTTTTTCCAACCACACAAACAAACTGTCACATGTCAAATCAAACAACTATTTCATTGAACATACTAGTATCAGACATAATAACAGATACAACTTTATATAGCTCAGATACATTTTTGTGTACTTGTGATGTACACAAAAAATACAAGAGACATACATTGGCTGCAATTTAATGTGAAATACCAATGTAACATGCATGATAATTTTTGTCATGGGCTTCAATAAAACTATTTAATTCTTATGTACATTGTCCTTCATAGTCGGTAAGAATTCATTAATGTTTGCTTAAAGGTACACTCAGTAAAAAAGGTTTTACACATATTGTAATTATTGAAAAAGTATGGATGCTCTGCTAAAAGCTGTGTTATATTTTACATAGCATGGGTTGCTTCATGGACATGTTGGGCAGACATGTTGAGATCACATGATCAGACAGATACTACTTTATCTTGGCTGTTATCAGACACTTTCGCTCAAGAAATAAATTAATTACATTTGACTGCGAAAAGCACATTTCTACAATTGAAACTTTTTGATTAAATTGTATAATTATACGCTCCAGGCCCCTAGGTGTCAGTATACGTCCAAGATGACCAGTGCAACATAAAAAAAAACATTACAGAGTGCACCTTTGATATCTTTGTGTTCTGGCTTTATAAAACCTCTGGTGGTATTTCCACCTTATTTGTACTATACAATAGCTATCCCTTTATTAACAATTTCTCAAAACAAATAAATATTAATTAACAAATGATAAATACTTAGAATATACAGATCTTTAAGCATTTTGTAACCAGTTGCTCACCTCTAAATTGATATAATAGTGTGATTTTGACATTCAGGTCCCTGCATAAAAGTCTTTGTGGCAAGATCCAATTGCCGATCTCAAATTCGCTTCAATTTTTTAATCGATGATTAATCACATTCACACTCCAACTCCAAAAGAGACTAAACACACCCATAAGTAATCAAGACACACAAATAAAACTCTTATAAAATTAGTTTTAAAAATAAAACTACTTTTACATTCATTTGAACCTCCATTTTCTGTAATGAGTTTTACTTCCATACTGCCTTAAAAGTGTGGCTTTGTAAATCCATCATTTCACATAGCAGTCAATAATGGCACTAACCTCTTGTGAAATCTTACATCTCTCTTCCTCTTCGTGTGCAATGAATAATGTCCTCAGCAGTGCAATATCTTTATGAAAGCCTTTCTGAACTCCACATTGAAAGTGGTATATATGATGGGGTTGACGGCGCTGTTCACATATCCCAGCCAAGTGAAGGCATTGTACATTTCCAGTGGCACCACGCAGCTCGTGCAGTGAGTTTTCAAAATGTGAGTAATAAAAAAGGGCAGCCAGCAAATAATGAAAACACCTGCAACAGAGAAAATAAGCTGTGGTATTCTGAGGACAAGACCTCAATCTAGGACTCACGGCTAAGCAATACTTCTATAAAATGACAGTATCGTGATCTCACCTAGAACAATGGCCAGCATCTGAGTAGCCTTCTTTTCTTTATGCTGATAAATCTTCCTCTTGCTCATGGTTTTGGTCACTGTAGTTTGTGTTTTGCCATTGGGCAGTACCTGAGTTAAAACAGGTTTGGCTTCTTTAGGGGTCTGGACCTCCTTGGCATGGCCATTTTTCTCATCTCCATTTGACTGACATTCATCGTGGGAGGGAGAGGCATGGATGGGGCTTGGGTTGGCCAATAGGTCAACGACCAGAGTAGATGCCTGTTTCTTTTTCTCTAGAGGGCTGGTGCCGGCCACAATATCCACCCCCACATCACAACCCTGGTGCAGGACCTCCTTTATCAGTTTCTGTTGAATATTTATTTATCATTAATTGTATAATGACACTTTGAATCTGTACAGTATGTCATGTACTAATAGACCAACGTAGGAAAAAAGTAAATGAAATAAATAACTGAAAATGATCAAAATAAAAAGGGCATTCAAGCTTATTTGCCTTAACCTGACAGTTTCTGACAGTGGTAATTGGTGACCTTATGGCCTCTCATTAACTATTCACATTTAATATAAAAGCTAAATCAATGCTTACTTTAACTCAGGAAGGCTGTCAGCATGGATGTATGACTCACAGTAATCAAAAGTATAATCCATCTGCTGTGATATATGACTTACAGTAACCCAACTGTAACAAACATGCAGTTAATGAAAGAGAATAATTTACAGATGAGGTTTAAGAAAAAAGTACACTTAAGCACAACTTATTCATAATCTAAAATTATATTTTTCAAATATTTATAATTTTATATTTGGTATATCTAAATTTATTTTTGACACACAATGAATTGGTATACTTAAAGTCTGTTAAATTGGAACAACTCATTTTGTACTAAATGCATTTTAGTTGTCCAAAAGCAGTGGTGAAGCAGTGGTTACACCCGCACCCTCATTAAATACACTCTTGCATTTCAGTTTTGAAATGATGAATTCACTCAGCATAAACTTCAATTGTATTTTGGTGACATTACAATTACAATTCAATTACACTGTAAGGGCCAGATATACTAACAGCTTGCACCAACGCAAACCCGTTAACCCGTTGGGGTTAAAATCTACTGTCGGGATTTACTAATATAAAGATGCTGTGCAAAATTAGCGCCCAATGATGTACCACCCACCAGGGCAGGGAAAGTCGCTATGGCCGCCACGTATATCTTGAGCTTCGATGGATGTAAACCTGACATATAGCGTTCTTGTAGAAAGTACTGTGTTCACTGAGCAGTTAACCGGATCCCACTGATGCTGAGCTCTGGAGCTTAAAATGGCCTCAACAACCTCGGCTGAGATATACCTCTCTATGAGTTGGGCCCCCTCAGGGGCCAAACCCACAGTTTCCAAATCCCCTGCTGTGGGCACAATATCGCGCACCCTGCCTGAGACGGAAGCTCTCTCCTGATCAGGCTCTCCAAGGGAGGGCCGTTGAGGAGAAGAATTAGGTCCAGGCTCGGCCAGTGTGGTGCTACTAGCAGTATAGGCTTATTCCATCCTGGCAGATTAACTATGTATTATAAATCTATGATATATTTGGCAGTAGCTTCCACGAAAAATCTACCAGTTCCAAATCTAATTGATTGCTCTGATGGTCTCCTTAATAGCCCTGAGAGATAATTCTGTGGCCCGACGAAGTTCTCAAACTCTCACTTCTGTCCATATCCCCCAGCAGGTCAGCCTGATATGCTTGTAGTAATGCTATAGGGTGCGAGCAGGCTCCGTATATGCTTTTTCCACTAGATTAGAAATACATTTCTTTAATGATTTAGTGAGAGAAGCCGACTCCTTCTGGGATGATGATGCTGAACCGGGAGACAGATAGCTCGCAAGCGTCTGTTCTACCCGTGGCATTTCCCCATATCTATACTCTCTCAACGGCCTAATATCTGAATATACATGAATTTGGGGGCTGATACAAGACGAGTAAGGTTTTTCCAATGATCTAGACAGCTCTCTGAGCAGATCAGGAAAAAATGATGACGTGATGGGGGGTAAATCAACAGCGAAGCAATGATGTTGGCAATCAGCCCCCTCGAAGGCTGATACCAAATGCTCCACTCCCAAACACTTGACACGTGACCCCACTCATTAAATAACGCGAGCAGAGAGAAACACAGAGATTGTGCAATTGTTTCACCATTGTATATATATAGACAGACAAAAGTAAATATGGTCATGATGCCATCTGCCTTTGACACTTATTCATTCCATTGGACTAGTTGACATAGATGCTTCAGACGCATTCACACTGGAGGCGTTCCCAAAGCGTCATCGATGCATTACAAGTTCCCTCGAAAGGGAACTTACCAACTCCCACCGGCACATTTCTGGAATTGCACTCTCACTCTAATTTGCCCAGTTTAGTAAATCTGGCCCTAAGAGTGTTTGAACATACATTAATATTATGCTGATAATAAACTTTTAGTGATTTTAAAACATGTAAAATTTCAAGCTTTCAAAAGATGTATTTCTCATGTCTGTGAGGAAATTTCATGCTGAGTTTAATTTTTTTTTTAAACACTGCCAAGTTCACAGAGACTGAAGCGGTAGAAAGTGCTTCCTTGTTGTTTTGTTTATTTTACAAAAACACAACTTTTAGTTATTGTGAGTGCACTCAACTAAAATTTGTCAGTTTCGAATGATGTATTAGGCTACTTCACAGACTGCGTAACTTCGCCATGAGTTTTTTCTTCTTTGACTAAAAGCTAATACAATTTTTGGTCAACTAAGCCTCTTCTAGTGGACTAACAATTAGTCGACTATTTAGAGGCAGCCCTACAGTTAGCAGTGCGTTAAAATAAACGAAAAACTGTATAGAACATGGAAACTTGAAGCTGTTGAAATAAAGCCAGCAGACATCTGGAGAATGTTTTGCTTCATTTTTACCTGACATGATCTGTCATTAACGCTGCAGAAAGCAATTGCATAAACCAGCATAACATTAGGTTTGATTCTTGTGCACGCACTAAAACGTGGACAGTTCCATTCGTTGGTGGAAGACGTGAATGTGCAGAACTGCTCGTGTTTCAGAGCGTTCAGATGTAATTAAACTATCTGTAACATTTCTCTGCTGATTGTCTCTGCGCGATTCAAATCTCAATGTTCTGCTCCTGACGTAAAACACAATGAAAGGATTCTCGCATTACGCTGCAGATTTAAATGTGACACATGAAATTATTTTAATACATTTTACATTGTTACTTTTCATGCAGTTAAGATTTCTGAATGTCTGTACTCACTCACAAAAGTTTTACATTTCCTCGAGAAACTTTACGTTTGCTAAAAAGTTGACATGCAGCCAGGAATCGTGTTGCCTGACATTTATGTTTGCCTGATTTCGACAGCGGGGAAATAAAAGCAATATAGACCTAAACAGAGGCTAAAGAAAATTGGCCTGTGACCGCTTTATATAAATACAATATAAGTAGGTCTAAATCCGGGTTATCGCTTATATCAGTGTTATATATAGCCTATTATATATCATCATATGGTCCAGCCCTAAAACTAAATAGTTTTTGTTTGTTTTTTTGGTCAGTGTTTAAAAAAAATTCCAATAATGCAGAATATGCAATGATAAATATTTAATTGATGAATTGTTAATATATATATATATATATATATATATATAAAACAATACAAAATATATGGGTATGGTTTTACACATAAATTCAGCATATTGACACAAAATGATAACTGCAGATAAACTTTCGCTGACTGGAGTCCAGTTGTTTCTGTGAATTGCAGCGATCCATTTGCTCCTCTTTCTAGCAGTCTGTAAAAATATACCTTTTTTGTCAAATTTAGATGTACAGTCAATCGCACAGCTCTTTCCCACTTTATATGTGTTGTGTTTGTTTTTCGCGGCATTCACGCTGAAAACAAATACAGCCGCTCAGTCTTTTTGCCATCACGCGCATACCCTTTATTGGTGTGGAGAGACTGCATATAAGCCTGCAAGATTGAGAGAGGGTGACAGAGAGTTTGACTGGGACTCAAGGAACTGGTGACTGAGAGAGAAAGGATCTGCTGACCGTAAAGAAGTTGTTGTTGTTTATCTACTGTGTTACTACATTAACACATGGTGAACGCGCTACTGTGCGCCCTGTTTCTTTTGTTTATTTTCAGTTTGTTTTAATAAAACCTGAGACATAGTCACGCTGATCCTGTCTTCTTCCACACCCACTGAGCCTCATTACAATTTCCTTCTATCTATTTGTCCATCACCATATACTGTTAGGGTCTCAGCTTGTTTGAATAACAAGATCAACTCCATCTAAAATATACATTTATTAATAATGTACAATTTAAGAAATACTTCTGAAAACTCAGACACGATCAGATAGCTGGACTCTCGTTTATGAAAAAATCAGGAAGAAATTAAGTGCATTTTAATGTAATGAAATTCAGAGGAGACTAACAAAAGGATAATAATTTGCACTTTTTGTAATACTGAAACTAATAAATCATTAGGAAGGGTAAAATAAGTACATTGTTTATATTGTGGTGTGTGTTTCACTCATTTACAAATTTGTATGCATGTGTTTGCTGTCTGTCACAATAGTTTCAATTTTTAAAAATCACTTGTAACAGTTCGGCAACAGTTCTTCTAACCATAATTGATAGAGTGAATTATTTATTGTATAAATAATTGTATTGCATCATAACAGTTTACTATTTTAGGATGCCAAATAACATCTGGCAAGGGGACTGCCGATGAAAACAAGCCTGTGGCTAACTTTCGCTTAAATTTGTTCTAAATGTTGATCCGTGTACATTGTCACTTTTCAAACAAACAAATAAATAAAATAAATAAATAAAATTCCAGGATGACAATGTCAAGATTCTCCAGGCTCAAATTATGAAATAATGGTTGGGAGGGATCATAAAGAATCATTTTCACACATGAATTGGCACCTATGAGTCCAGACGTCTAATAGCCATCCAAAAACAGCCCTGACATCTAGGCTAAAACAAGGCAAAATTTGGGCTGTCAGTGAAACTGTAATAGACGTCTAACTCAAGAATAAACACACAGGCTATGCATAGAACATGTCAAAGAAATGAAACCAAACACCTAATAATTGTTGACTCTGCTTACATGATGGAATAGCATACATGTCATAAGTTATTTGGGAAAATATTACTTGTAACCAAATTCAACATTATATAGCTAGACTATATCGGGTCTATAGTTAACCTAGATGGAAAGCGCTTGAATTCAATAATTAAGAGGTGTCCAGACAAGTCAAATATTATAAGAGTATGTTTTATAATAAAATACCTTTTCAGTCTTTCTTTTAATTTTGATAATTAAAATCTGGGAAAAAATTTGGCTCTAAATGGCTAAGATCTCTAAATGGGCAAGCATGGTGTTGTCTAGTAAGCGACCAACTATGGCAGAGATCCAAAGTGTCCTTGTATTGAATCAAAGATTGTTTTTTTAGAAGTTGTTAAACCCATGTCAAGAAGCGCCACAAGTGGCACAATGGGATAAGGAGGGTGGATGAGTAGTGAGAGATACACGGTTCATCTACCCGTTACAACATATATTGTGTGCGAGAGCCCAGCGAGAGATAGCCCACGTCCCGTCTGCCCAGCCAGAGTCTCGTCCCGCCGAGACAGCCCAGCCCGAGTCAGCTCCGCCAGAGCCCGCTGAACCTGCGCCAGAGTCTGAAGTCCCACCCTGCCTCCCTCTCCCACCTCCGCTGTTGGTGTCTTTATGTTCTACTGTTTTGCCTCTACTGAGCCCTGTCGACCCTGCTGCCCATCCACAGCTACCCGCCAGTATTGCTGTGGAACCACCTTCGGGTCTCCATCGCCTCAGCATCGCCCTGGTCAGTGGATCCCCTGTCCTCGCCTCAACCACCTGAACCTCTGACTCCACCTTGGTCCTCCGACCCTACAGCTTCTCTTCGGCTCATTGTGCCCTTATCTCCGCCGGGTCTCGTCAGCCCTATAGCTCCACCAGGCTCACTCCTCCTTCCTTCCTCGCATTGGTCAGCCGTCACCCTGGTTCCAACTCGGGACTCCGTGCTGCCGGCTGCGCCTCTGCCCTGCATCCTTTCTGCTCCACCGGGCTCCATCTTCCTTCCTGTTCCTCAGTTGTCCTCCCTCACACTGGTTACGCCACGGGCTTCCAGAGCCCCTTCTCCGCCTCGATCCCATGAGCCTGCAGATCCGGCTTCGGCCTTCAGACCTGTGGTGTCGCACCTCGGCTCTGGGTCCCTCCGGCTCTGTTGGGGAACCCTGGAACTCCTTCGGGGTCTTCACAGCCGTGGCCGCCTGAAGGGTCTTCACCGCCGTGTTCACCTGAAGGGTCTTCACCGCCGTGGCTGCCGGAACAGCCTGCTCCGCCCTGGACGCCCGAGGGTCCAATAGCTCTGCCCTGGACTCCCGAGGGTACGTCTGCTCCGCCCTGGACGCCGAGGGTTCGTCTGCTCTGCCCTGGACGCCCGAGGGTTCGTCTGCTCCGCCCTGGCCACGCCCTCAGCCTGCTCCGCCACGTCCACATCCTGCTCTGCCCTGGCCACACCCTCAGCCTGCTCCGCCACGTCCTGCTCAGTCCTGGCAACACCCTCAGCCTGCTCCGCCCTGGTCACGTCCACGTCCTGCTACGCCCTGGAGGCTTCCAGCCTTCTGGGCGCCCATCCTCCCACCCCTTTTCTGCGGCGTGAGGTCACGCCTACCGGGAGGGGGGAGTAATGTCACAGTCCTCGTCTGCACCAGTCTGTCTTCGTCATCTGCACTACACTTCCCAGGATCCTCTTGTCTTCACACCTGAACTCACTCCCTCAATCAGCCACCTGTTCATCGACCTGTTCATCTGTGTCACCTGTCTTCACCTTGTTATGTTTGATTCTTGCTTGTATTTAGTTTGCTTCTGTTTAGTCTGTCCTTGTCGGTCGATGTTAATGTTACCTTGTGTTTGCTTCCGTCTGCCTGTATCCGTGCTTGATATATTGTGAGTAAAAGTTAAAAGTTATATTATTTGGGAATCTGGACTCTGTCTGTTCTTCTGCCTGCACCAAAACCGTGACAACTGGAATATTTTGAGGAATATTTCATTTGCATAGAACATCTTGTCTTTCTTAACGCCGTAATGCACCTTCGCGTGAAGTTGAAAATTGATTCCTGAGCAATCGATGCCAACTAATTCATCACCTTCACTTGGGACAGCTTGTAACGTCGAACGTAAGAGGCGTTAAGAAGCTTCCTAAGGGACATTTCGGGAAACACACTTAAGTAACATAAACAACTAAGGTAAGATATATCTTTTGAGTCTTCTAATCGTGCTAAGAGTGAACGTTATCGGGAAACAGGGCCCAGTTCATTTTTCTGTAAATATTTTGTTTTATAACTGCACTCTTTCCCATAATGAGGCAAAGAGCACTTGGATATAATTGTGTTAATGTATAGGCAGCTGCATACAGTCATCAACAAATATTTTACATATCATTTTGAGTTGATTTAAAAGTAAAATGCACTTACTGCTTTCTTGTTTTTGGCAGGTAACCCCCCATTGGTCTTAATGATAAATGTGCACAGTTTTACATCTTCAGGATGAGTGCACTTTTCCTGTGGCAGAGGTAATAGGAATTTAATTCAGCATGTGGTCGACATTACATTTCAAAGACAGCATGGAGCCTTAAATCATTCACAGGTATATTTAATGCCTCTTGATGACACACAATGCAAATAAATCCACTGAACACAAAAGAGCCTTTCTTGCACTAAAAGGGGAATGAAAAAGTGATTGCTTTACTACTTTGTAAGTATCAAAAAAAGCTTGAATCCATTGATCCAAAGTGGCCATTAAAAACAGCAGCTGCAGGAAATCGATGATGAAAGAGCGCAAAGGTCAGAAGAAAGAAATGATTGAAATAATTCAGGATGAATGAAGCCAGTATAGCCTATAATATACACAATCTGCTCTGACACAGATTGCATGGGGAATTGTTTAAAAACCTGTTTGAAATGTCTTCTAATTGTTGGCATGGTGATGGTTTCATTTGCTTTAATGGCTTTACTCTCACAGCCTCCAGTGGGTAATGCATATTCAACATCAGGCTAAGGCAATGTCCCCATAACTAAATACACAGTGGAGATACTGAAATAAGTCTAGGACTGTTATTTATCTGGACTTATCCGAACACATTTGAAAAAGAAACAATTTCTCTACACGTTGGCCTTCCGTTTTTGTCCTGTGAAAACTGAGGTTTTTGAAGACATACATTTGTAAACGCCATTTTTGCTTTGTAGTGTGGAAATGGAGGAATTCAAAAATGATGACACGTTTAGTCATGTGGCCCATATTGTTCCAATTGATATCCGTTTATACCATGCATGTCCCTGCTGTGTCCTTTTCATGTTTTCCCTATTAAGATATATATCTGCCATTAGCCAAAATCAAGCATTACCTAAAACTGAACAGAATACTGTACATAACACTGATTCCAGGGGTGAGTAAAGGTTTTGGGGTTACTGTATCTCAAGTAGTGTCCTGCAGGTCCTGTTATTACCGCAGAGATTCTAATTAACACTGACAGATGCTCCCCATATTTTCTAGAAAAAGGCCAAGTCCTTTTGTAAAATGACTCTGACACCATGTCATGTCCTGTGGGGAGTGCTTGGTATTTTCCCTGAGGCTACTGTCTCACAATAGTGCACATCACCTTAAGAGAGGGCTGAGCATCAGGATCTGTCTTCTGGCAGCTCCGTTTAGTGTTGACCCGTTTCCGGCGCTTGCGAAGAACCACGTAGATCTGCACGTAGACGAGGAGGGTGATGATGAAGGGAACGTAGAATGACATGATGGAGGAGTAGACAACAAAAGAGGGGTTGGCGATTTCACACACAGCACCATCCCGTGTAGCTAAGAGAGAGAGAGAGAGTGGGGAAAATATGGTTACACAATTATTTATGGTTGCAAAACTAATTAGTTCAGTGAGGCACTGCCAAATGCATGTATGGGCAAATTTCCCATAACAAGTGCAAATTAGCTCCAGATTATAATTAGATTAGAAACATACTGGAAAATTTATAACAATATGACAACAGTGTTGAGTGAGCTAAAAAATTATGTCATGGAGTATATCAACGCATTCTCATCCTAGGGCGTTATAGTGATGCTTTTGACAATGTGTATACATCCAACACACATGGCACCCTTTAGCGTCAATATAACACGCTTCGGTTATTGGTAGGTTTAGGTCTGGGGTAGGGTTAGGGTTAGACCCCTAAGAACATTGGTTTGAAATGTGCTGGGGACAGAGATATATTCGGAAGGGCATTTTCAAAAATGTTGGGTACAATGACGCTTTCATTCTTTTTTTCTCTTTCGAGTAGGTCATGTTTTTAAAGACGATGTCCTGTAGCTTCCTAATGTACATAAATAAAAATGAGCACAATGTCCGAGTATAGTGAGTATATAGAGTATATATATTGCATATGTACAGTGATGGTTCAGAGACAGAATTTTTGCCTAGCATGTCGGGACTCGGGAGGTTCAAGGTTCTAATCCGCACTTGTATAGTTTTTTTTTCCCTCATCAAAACCAATAATGTTTATCAGTGGTTGTATATGTTTTGATGCGGGAAAAAAATATACGAGAGCGGATTAGAACCCATGAAAAACAGGGACACGTTTGTGTGCATTTTGATTTGTGATTTCACCGGAACGAATCTCCACAACAGATTGAAGCGCGTTTCCGAGAGAAGACAACACATTTCAGTGCTAGATTGCCTGTTATTTAACAAACAAATGAAACGAATGCTGTTAACTGGAGATGTTTTATTTGTATTGGTTCATCTGTGCCGCGAGATGTTTCAAAAGTGGTGGGGACAAAATCGATCCTAGCGAAAAGTGGTGGGGACGTGTCCCACCCGTCCCTGGTCCCCCCATAAATGACGCCTATGACTAAGAGGCCCGTTTTGGCCCATATATATCTGCGTCTCATATTGACGTTAAATGTGCCATGTGCATTGGATGTATATGCGTTGTCAAAAGCATCAGTATATGAGTATCCCATGCCTTGGGATGGGAATGAGCTGAGTATATCGATGCATTAAAAAGTGACAGTAAATAACTTTCTGATTTTACCAAAGATTCTTATTTCAAATCAATGCTTTATTTTAATCAAAGAATCCACATTTTTTTCACAGTTTCACAAAATATTAAGCAGCATGTTAAAAGGTTAGTTCACCCAAAAAAGAAAATCATGTCGTTAATGATAATATTAACGATATACCAAAGATGTTTGATTATTATGAAAATAATTTAGATAGTCTGGGAGTTTTCTTCCATTGGCCCTACCATTGAAAATGTATTTACGGTATACTGTCCTTTCCAGAAAGGTAATAAAGACGTTTTACAGGCTTGGGATGACATGAGGGTGAGTCATTAATGACAATTTTAATTTTTGGGTGAACTAACCCTTTAATTATTTTTAACGTCAGCCACATTTACACCGCAGGAACTTTCCCTATGGGACCTAGGAACTTAGTTTATGAACTTTCAAGGATGGGACTTGGCCAATGAATATGTTGCATAAACGGATGCGGATATATTTGGAAGTTAGTTTTTTTTTTTTCCTATTGGCTCTATTTTTGAAATGCAGAATATATTTTTTTAAATATTTATTTCAGAAATGCAGAAAACTATGAAGTGTCACCGTTTAGCGACGTCATTATACTGTATGTTCCACATCGTATGTTCACAGCACCATTTCATTGCTGTTTTTGATCGGGCAATTATTATTTTTACAAATTAGGCACTGGTCATTATCTACAAACCTGTCGTTTACCTGTGTTATTTAATCCAAACAGCAGGGGGCAAGAAATAGCGAACGAAAGCACCCAAACCACTGAGATCATTACAGTGACACGTCTCTTGGAGCTGTAGCGTGTGTTGTACAACATCGGCATGGCAACAGCCGTGTACCTGCACAAGAAGCCCAGAGGGAAGGAGAAGAAAAGGGGGTGGGTGGGATAGGGTGATTTCAAATTTAAGCAGATAAAAAAAAGAGTAAATAACAATGTGACTGTAACATAAACCTCATCATTTCCAACGGTTCAGGGGTCTTCCTACTCTAACAAAATGCTTGAGTTTACCAAGCAGGCATTATGCACTCTGAAAGTGTTGTTTATTAGTGTTGTCACATTCTTTTAGCACCGAATTTAGCACTCAATGTAATTTGCATGGCAAAATTCCCTGATCTTTGTAGCAAACTACTGTAATCTGGCTCCAACATCGACAAAGTGCCTGTTTATAATGTTCTTTTTTATCAAATGGTCATCATTTGATGAACTACTGCTGACATGATCAACAAAACTGTAAATCTATTTTAATTAATATTCATTATAATGCATTCTTGACTTTCTGTGGGCAGGAATAGCATGTTTTAATTGTGAAAAAAAAAAACAATTTTGCACCCGATTAAACTGAATTACAGGTGTTTAGAGAAAAAGACAGGTATTTAGTGAATTCATGCCTTTGTATATTCCACAAAATTTCCCCCTCACTATTTTTAACAACTGACTCAATTGACAGGTTTAAACAACATCTGAAGGCTAGCACAGCTGTTAACATCAACAGGGTCCAACAAGTCAATTTCATGTCAATTCCAGACAACAAGCCTCACATCTATGGTATTCTCATTTAAAATAATCATTGCTCTTTTCCTGAACTGATAGAAGAACCTACCTGTCAATACTAATAGCACAAAGATTAAGAATGCTCGCCGTGCACATCATGACGTCCAATGTGACGAAAATGTCACAATGGATTTTGCTGAAACGCCACTCCCCCACCACCTGCAACATAGACACATGTGCATGCACACAATGAGTTTTGAAAAGACAAGTTGAATTATTTACTGAGGACAACAACACCATTAATACTTACCACATAAATAAATTAATAATGAAAAAATATCTAATTCACTGGGAGAACCTGAATGCAAATGTTGTTCTAAAAAAAAGTATAATCCACATGCTGCATGCCAGGTACACGGATGAATAGTTAAAAAAGGCTACATTTATTTGCTCAAAAATACAGTCAACAATACTATTGTGAAATATTATTAGGAATGTGCCCATATCTAAATACCTTATTCGTAAGATGATCCGTAATGGCTTCTACCGAACAACAGGTAACCAGGGAATAGCATAGCATGATATTATGCATAAACATATGAAAGAGTGTAATCTTTGTGAATGAAATGAGCAACTCATGATTGCAAATCAAATCCGTCTCAATGCTGCTGTCTCAGTGCATACACTGAAAAAAATAATATGCTTTTTCTAATCAATAAAATTGTGGCAATATATTACAAGCAATATTATTAATTAAATTGTAAAAATTAGAATTAATTAGAATGTTAATTTGATTAACTATTACTCAATTCTAATTTGTTCAATTTAATAAATAAAATTGCTTGTAATCTGTTGCCACAATTTTATTGATCAGATAAAGCATATTCATTTTTACAGTGTATGGTTTTGATTATGGTTTTGGCAAACCAATGAGATTGAAGCGGCCATACTATTTAAGGACCTTTATTTTGACAAGTGTGCACGTCCTTTAGAGAGGATTTGGAGAATGATCAAGAAAATGAAAGGTATAGATAGAAACTATAATTATCCTATGCTCATAGATGGAGAGAATATTGTGACTAAGGCTACGTTCACACTGCAGGGCTTAATGCTCAATTCCTTTTTTGAAAAAATTAGATTTTTTTTGCAAGGCCGTTCACATTTCTAATTAAATGCGACCTTTTGTGATCTCCTGTGTGAACGTGAAATGACCCAGAAGTGACCCGCATGCGCAGAAGAGTAATCAACTGTCAACGACGTCACTTGTTGTTTGCGGAATAGTTCTTTTTTTTCCATATGTTGTAAGCTTTTGTTTTATTATTATTATTGCCACAGCCCATATACAAACACAGACAATAATTATTTTATCGACGGGAAAAGTTTGCACATAAATGTAAGATTTTTCCGATCCTCACCAACCTCGTCATAAAACCCCTTTAATTGATAGTGCACGCGCACTCCTCGGCGCTCCTTGCTTTGTCACCGGCGGCCGCGGTGACACTGGTGGCTGGTGTTGCCAGATTGAGTGTTTTTTCGCTACATTTTAAGACATGTTTACATGTGTTTTAGCCAGGTTTTCGCTTGGAAGGCTCTATATCTGGCACCCTACTGTACAAAGTTATACTGACAGAGAGCGCACGTTCACAGACACCAGAATGAACGTGTTCACAGTAATGTTCATCAGGCAGTAATACAGTAAATGAACAGGCACAACACTGGGGAAGAGACACGTCTGAAGCGGCCCATAACAGTGCAGAAACGCGTTGGAGTTAACCATGTATTGGCTAGCTACAGGTGCGTGCAATGACGTGCGGGTCGGATATATGTGACCTGGCCGTTCATATTGAAGTCGCATTTCAAAAGATCGGATGCATATCAGATTTAGACCACATACCCAAGTGGCCTGGGTCGCATTTAAAAAGATCGGATCTGTGTCGTTCAGACTGTCATGAAAAAAATCAGATACAGGTCGCATAGGGGCAAAAAAATCGGAATTAGGTCGTTTCAGCCTGCAGTGTGAACGTAGCCTAAGAGTAAAGATAAAGCAGAAGTGATTGCAAAAACATTAGCTAGGGTGCATAGTTCTGATAACCTAAGTATGGAGGAAAAGAAAGGAAGAGAAGAGACAATTTTAAGATATTCTAATTCAGATGAGTGTTAATGAGGAAGGAGGCAGGATTAATGATTTTTTTTTTTACTAGAACAGAACTAAATATTGCCCTAAAGAAGTTAATAAAATCTACTCCTGGAAGGGATTCAATTTGTTATGATATGTTGGATAACTTGAGTGATTTAGGTAAAGAAAAGCTGTTGCTGCTATTTAATAAGATATGAATGGAGGGAATGATTCCTAAAGAATGGAAAGAATCCATAATTGTTCCAATTAGAAAGCCTGGTAAAGATCCTCATAATCCAAGTAGCTATAGGCCAATAGCCTTAACTTCTCAGGTGGGAAAGACTATGGAGAAAATGGTAAATGATAGGTTGAATTACTGGGTGGAGTCTAAGGGGCTTCTGAATAGTTATCAGAGTGGTTTTAGAAGAGGTAGAGGTACAATGGACCCTGTGGTATGTTTGGAAGATGTTATAAGGAGAGCTCAAGTAAATAGAGAATCAGTGGTGGCAGTATTCTTTGATATCGAAAAAGCGTATGATATGATGTGGACAGATGGCCTATTAATCAGGATGCAGCAAATGGGGATTGGGGGCAGAATGCTCCAGTGGATTAAAGTTTAAGTTTAATCCATTTATTTTAAGGGTTAAAATAAATGGGGAACATAACTGAGAATGGTACTCCTCAGGGGAATATTGTTAGCCCTATATTTTTTGCTATAATGATAGATCAGATATTTCAAAATGTGCAGGGGCATGATGGAGTAGCTTTGTTTGCTGATGATGGAGCCATGTGGAAGAAAGGGAGGAATTTGGACTAAAGAAAATGCAGATTGCTGTAAATGAAGTCCAGAAATGGGCAGTACAGTAGGGATTTAGGATTTCAGTAAAACAAAAGTTATGTTCTTTTCTAGGGGGAACATAAGACCCGAGTTTAAAATTCACCTGTCAGGTAGAGAGCTGGAAAGAGCAGAGGTTTTTAAGTATTTGAGAGTATGGTTTGATAGGAAGTTGACATGCATGGGTCAGCTTCCAAGTCATTATTATACAAACTTGATGTAATGCAAAACCAGGCCTTGAGAATATGTAGTGGAGCTGTCAAAACCTCGCCAGTGGCAGCCATCCAAGTGGAGGTGGGGGGATGCCCTTGTATTTCAGAAGAGATCAGCTTGCCCTAGTGTACTGGGCTAATCTTATGGGACATAATCATGATCATATTGCACAGCCAGTATTAAGAAACTGTCAAGAGCGACTGAAAGAGGGAGTCAAAAGCTTTGGGTGGTCTATCAAACAAAAAGTTGAGAATATGGGGTTAAGTGAACTTAATATCTGTACTTCAGTACCATACTCTACAGTTCCCCCTTGGACTTTTGAGGAATTAAAAAGTTGGATCTAGGATTACTTGAAGAAAAGCAGGAGAAGGAAGTGGACAAATGCAGAGTTCATAGATATATAGAAGAACATTACAGACAGGAATAAATCATATTTACAGATGCTTCAAAAAGAACTGATAAAAGGGTGGGAGTGGCGCATGTGGCGCATCTGACTCTAGTTTTGCTCTTTTAAGTATCAAGAATTCACACTCAGGATCTAGGAAAGACATTCTTCTAGAAATTTTAACAGTTAGTACTGTAAGTGGATTGCAAAAGGCGGGTTTAAAATTGTCCTTCTTATGGGTTTCAGCCCACATAGGGGTGGAGGGGAATGAGTTGGCTGATAAATATGCCAAGAAAGCAGCAGGGAAAGACAACATTGATGTTGACATAAAATATAGTAAAGCAGAGGTTAAGAGTATTATTAAAACAAGAACTTATGAAAAATGGCAATTCTTTTGGGATAATGAATCATTTGGGAGACATCTTTTTAGGATACAGCCTAAAGTTAAAAAGGTTGCAGGTTCAACTAGATCTAGACATGAGGAAGTGGTATTGTCCAGGTTGAGAATTGGGCATACCAGACTTAGTAGTACCTTATTTCTAATGAAAAAAAAAACATGTTTATGGCAACTGTGGTCATTGTATAAGGTCTACCCCTGAAACAGTGGAGCATGTATTGATTCATTGTTTGAAATATTATCAAGATAGGCAGAGGCTTATTGCTCAAGTAGAAGCCAATGGAATTATATTTGAATACAGTAATATTTTACAAAGAAATGCTGAGAAGATTTTTCATTTTTTTGTTTTTGTTTTTAAAAAATACAGGGCTTTTGAAAAGAAATTAATTTTATGGAAAATATATATCTCCTGTTATACACTCCAGTCCAGCGGTGGCGGTAATGCAATAAATTGTTGTCAACCGCCATTTAAAAATTGAAGAATAAGAAGAAGACAAGTGTGCACGTGTTAAAACACCAAAGAAAGGAAGAAGAAGTGTGCATGTGTCCTTGTGATTCTGGGTTCTCCTCTCCTTGGCATTTTCATTTACTTCCCATTCCGTTCCCATTCCTATTCAGATACGTGTGTCGAGAGTCTGCTGTGGTGTAATGGTGTGAACAGTTGGAGGCTAACATGCTCTATTTATAGTTTAATTAGAGCAGAGCTGGTGACATTGGCGTTGTGGCAAGATTCAGGCGGAGTTTGCTTTCAAGTACATTTCATATTAGTTTGTTGATTTGCTCCCAAGTATAGTTTTATTTTTATTTTTGCTTGTGGTTTGCGCTGAATCTTTTATTTTTCTTTTGCTAACAGCGCAAGTCAAATTGTGTCTCTATTTTTGTTAATTTGGTTTTGATTTATTGCAGTGCTTTCTTTATTAGTTATTATTCTTTATAATTGCATGTAGTGTGGCAGGCTATTTTGCTCTCAACTAGTGTATTTTCTCACCTTGAACCTGTAATTTCAGGTTTGGTTTGTTACATTTTGTTGCTCTATCATTGTTTGCCATTTAATTGTTAACTGTTTATGACTGTTTACTGTATCCATTGTCCCATTACTCTGGTGCTACTCAGGCGCTGTTCATCCACCCTGCTGTATGTTGTGTTGCCAGGGGGCCCGAGTGCTATATCCGCCACACCAAAGTGTCAGCAAATTTTACCCTGTGTTTTCTTTCTTTGATTTATTTGGTGCACTTTGTGTAGTCCTTGGTTAACATGTTTCTTTTTCATCCTC